ATGCAAGAACGAATCATTCCATCGGTGGGAAGGAGGCCCAAGCGTTGCGAAACGCTTCAGTCGTCACACCGCATCCAGAGTGAGCTCACAGCTCAATCACTAATGATGCTGGATGATGTACGCTTAGCTCTTCGATCGTCAAGATCGCCTGCATGCTGCCAGGTAATTGATCTGAGCTTTGCGACTGCGCATTGCGAGAATAGAGGCCAAAGCTCGCAGGTCGCACAAACCCCCGCATCCGAACACGTATCTTCCGCCATGGGAGCCATGGGAGGGGTCGAAAAAAAGCTCCATGGGACTGGCACCGTGATCCTCGCTGCGCGGACAGCACCTTTTCAAAAGTCACACAATGCGCTCGAGCCGCTTGGAAGTGCAGCGCTCGAGGCATGCTGGCAGTCAACTTGACGTAGCTTTAGCACGTTTTCTGGCGACGAGGAGGTATCGTGATGTATCCCAGAGCATGAGTGCTCGTCAGCAAGCTGACGAAGGGCCAAGCACGAACAGCAGCTACAAAAGGTGCTCATTTGCCTCTCCTCTTCGAGGACTCTGACCACGCCAAGGCTCTTTTCAGCTCTACATCCTCAACCCAGGTTGTTGTCTCATTCTCATCTCAGGCTTTGTCCTCAACTCGCGAGCCACGATGTTCCACAGCAAGGGGAGCACTGCGTCCGCTGGCGCCTCGCGAAATGTTCAAGTAGGCGCAGACTCCAACGACCGTCTCGGCGGAGGACGCGCCACATCAATGGCGCAGAATTCCTCGACCACCCAGTCTGGAGGTCGAGGTCACCCAGTGTCGGGGCACCAAACGCACGCCGCTCCAGATCGCAGCGCTCAGTCGAATGCTCAGAGTGGCAATCAGAGCAGAACTGCAGGCTCCAATGCGATGTCGTCCAATCGCAGCAATGCTAACAGCGTCCCGGCTCGCTCGACGGGCAACAGTGCGAGCAACGCTGCAAACAGCACGTCGCACAACAAGACGCAGTCCCAGCACATGCCAAACAATTCTGCATCTCCATCTCGCAAAGCACCCGGGGGCGCTACGCAGCGAGGCACTAGCGATGTAGGCCGTACTCCACATTCCGCTGCACTGCGCCAAGGCAACCGGCAGCAAGTATCCCGCTCTGACTCTGGCCGCGATAAAGGAGTTGCGCGCACCGCTGCCAACAACAAGACGTCAAACCCCAGTCAGGGCGGGTCGAGCACCAAAGACTCTGGCAACGGTATGCATATGTCCGCTGAGGATGCTGCTCTATCTCGCCCATGGAACAAGGATGAGCCGCTCGCTTATGGAAGTGGCTCTGGATACTCGTGAGTTCCACTTGAGGATGACGTC